CCTGGTCACTGAATGATGGCGGATGTGGTATGTATAAGCACATTTCCGGTTCTGTGATCAACAGCGCACATCATTACGCATTCTGCACGTGTACCTCGTGACAAGTTGTATCATCGTTAATAAATAAACAGTTGACAGTCCACTGAATTCGTACCATGTGCCACTTGGCTTTAGGAGGGATAGAACTGCCATGTGGTTCACATTGTCAATGGTACAAGTTTGGAAAAAAAAAAAAAAAAAAAAAACTTTGCAGATGTTAACCAAGTTCTTTCTTTCCTCTACTGCATACATCAGCCTTTTCGTATTTACACACTGCAGATACAAGATTGTGGTTGTTAGGCCAGTCACACAGATAAGTCTCCTTGCATTTTGTTAAAAGGTCACCATGTCGAAAAATGTTACAAAAGTTGATGTAAAAAGCAAAGCCGTGACGCTACACCGAAGAAATATAGTTTTAACCGATTTTCAGATTTATCGTAGAAGTTTACCGACGTTTCGGAGATGATTATTGCCGCCATCATCAGGACGATTACTCGATGTAACACAACAAACGTGCGTATTTGTATTCTGACGGCGGCAGAATCTACAGGTTTCATTACGCATCTGTCAACGGTCTCCAAGTCACTTATTTTTCTCCTTGTGTTCTGCAGTAGCCAGAAAGAGGTCACAGGTCATCTCTCTCTCTCTCTCTCTCTCTCTCTCTCGAAAATGTGTTGTACCGACAGACCTCCATTAAAGCTATTTTATATGTGATACTCGCTGCAAACAGCGATTATCTCCTTAAACAGCGTTAACCAGTTGATCTTCGTAATGGTGAAGTGTGGTGTTTACTTCGCGGTACGGACTGAATTCTTAAGTTTCATTTGAAAGAGCTTCGGCTCCAAAGGTTAATTAGCGTTTTAGTCGTATTATTTCCTTAAACAAGGTTAACCAGTTGATCTTTGTAACAGTGAAGTGCAGTGTTTTCTTCGCGGTACGGACTGAATTCTTAAGTTTCATTTGTCAGCTTTCATTAATCAATGAATTCACAAATTTATTATGAAGTTAAAAATACATTCATTTAATAGCATACTTTTTTGTTCATTTCTTTAATTAAATTCATGGTACTATACAAGTTATCTTTTTATAAATGTAGCTTTGTTTACAAATTTATATGACAAATCCTGGGGCGCAGCGTTCCCTAAGCTGTTTTCAGATTTAATTTATAAATTGGTACATTTATCCTGTATTATTATGCATAAGTCTGAGAATTTGATAGATTCATGCGCCATACCAACACATTTATTTATTGTTATTAATTCAGTAATTTTCATTATGTATTTAACTAGCACCATGATACAAGAACTCTTTCTAGCATTTGTTAACATTTCTATGAATTTATATAATTAGCAGTTTGTATGATTTTCATAAGCAATTGACAGTTTTGAATATGTACTGTTTCATGGGATGTTGCGCCGTGTAGTCTTGTAGAAATTTCCCGACGTTTCGGAGGTACTCACTGATTCCATCTTCAGGGCGACCAGTCGGCGTAACATCTAAGAAGACAGCGATCTTCACTTGTCATGATATGTAGAACCTGACATTCGGTAGCTGCGACATTAATTTCCTAATATTAATGCCATTTAGGCAGAAGGCAAGGTCAATGGCTTATTCTGACGATAAAATGTGTCAATAGCAGGGCGTAACGCCCGGAGGGGACACGCCCCGTCCCCGAGGTCATGGTACATTTAATGGACCGGCTATTCCTCATGCAAACTCACTTGCTGCTTGGCTCACATGTGGAGCGTGTCGTAACCCCGGTTTTTCAGGACCGCGAACCTTTCCACGAATCCACCTGCCGAAATTCGCGAGTCTGTCTATCACGTCTTCACCCTAATTAACTCTTTCCATGCTGATATTATACAGTTTCCTAGTTACGGCACCAAGTCGAAATGATATAAACTACCGACGTTTCGGAGGAACTTTCTTTCTCAGGTTGAATAACGTTCGCACTTGTAGAAGGGTGGGAAATTAAAAGGAAATTTCAGGTACGACAAAAATTCATTGCGTTATTAACCATTTAAAGGCCAGTGGTAACTATATGTACCACCTGCTTTAAAAATCAGTAACTTTGCATAGTGTTCATGGTTTTTTGCATGATTCTTAATTTAAACAGTGATTATTTCCTTAAACAGCGTTAAAAAGTTGATCTTTGTAATGGTGAAGTGTTGTGTTTTCTTCGCTGTACGGACTAAATTCTTAAGTTTCATTTGAAAGAGCTTCGGCTCCAAAGGTTAATTAGCGCTTTAGTCGTATTATTTCCTTAAACAAGGTTAACCAGTTGATCTTTGCAATGGTGAAGTGTGGTGTTTTCTTCGCGGTACGGACTGGATTCTTAAGTTTCATTTGAAAGAGCTTCGGCTCCAAAGGTTAATTAGCGCTTTAGTCGTATTATTTCCTTAAACAAGGTTAACCAGTTGATCTTTGCAATGGTGAAGTGTAGTGTTTTCTTCGCGGTACGGACTGAATTCTTGTATATGTATTATTTAGGTAGTCTTCGGCTCCAAAAGGTTTTATGCCGATAATAACGCAACGCATATCAACTGGGTTTTTATGCAACTTCGATTATGTAATCTGTTCTGCAGCAATAAGCCTATGGTTTTACGTATCTGCAATGAATAAAAATCAAACCAAATTACGTAAAAAAAATTCACAAATATCGCATTGTGCTCCAGCGGGACTCAGATTTCCAGTGTCTTTCCAGTAATCAGTAATTGTCTGTTGCGATGAATTCGTCTATGGTTCAGTTCTTATCTCAGTGCGACAAGTAGCTGCCTACTTGCCCAGGGATGTGATTCGAAACCTGTCGGTCTTCGGTCGTAGCGCCTCGCGGCGCGTCTAAAATCCACTGATCTACTTTTGAAGTGGCGCATCGGCAAGGAGACCTGGAAAATCGCTTCCCCCGGCACTCAACACAAGTGCGGGATAATGAGACTGTAATTAATAACAAAACAGGACGTAACAGAAATACGAAGAAAGTTACATGACGAGGAACTTCCCATTCATCGTGGACTAGACACACATCATTACCGATTCTGTTAACAATAATCTATTAATCATTCGGATATATGACATGAGAGGTTATCGCAGCAGTCAAGATGTTGGTTAGTCTTCTGAGTTGTAACGCCGTGTGGTACACACACAAAAAGCAATATCTGCATCTTGTGATCCGGCGCCCTTAAGATGGAAGCAGTATCTTCCTCCGAAACGCTGATATTAAACTATTAATCCACACTACGTTACAACCCAGAAGACCACAGATCTCAACAAATGTTGCAGAGGTTAGCGACCTCCAATGTTTGCAATATCATCGTCTGTGATTTCTGGTAAATAAAAAAGACATGTCAGTATGACGAAAAATGAAGCTGTTTTTGTAACTTTGGGGGAGAAAAACAGGCGAATGATTTGCAGGACTGATTCATTGTGCACAAGTCCGCGATTTCGTGGATTCTGCAGATTCACTGCGGCCCCCCCCCCCAAGTACGTGTTGTTTCAATTTCTGACAGACAGGTCTTCCAGCATGTGTCGTATGTGATGCGTAGTCATTGCTCCAAACAAGGACGCTCTGCCAGCGATTCAACAGATTTGCGAATTATTCATTGTGTTCAGACACATTAAGTTTTTGAATTTCTTAGTTTCCGGTTGTATTCATCCGTGTTGAGGGAGACAGTTTTCGAAAAAAATATAAAATAAAATTTCAATCCATTCTCGCGAAACAGCGAGCAGGGATTGGCCCCAAAACACACAGCGGAAAACCTCAGTCAGCGTACGAGATTCGAGGTTCTTAAGACGGTGAAGACGTCAATGATGGTCTTTGGGTTGTAACACTCGTGTATAATTGTAGGTACATACCAACGTTTCGGAAGGATATTCTGCCTCCATCTACAGGGCTGAAGTGTTGAGGATATCGATTTTGATTTTCTTGGTTAAAACGCATTGTACTGACTTAATCTTCAGGATTACTGATCACAGGACAGAGTGTCGAACCGGAGACCTCCAGAATACGAAACTGGAGCAGTGACCACATTACCGTGATGCTCTATATCCACGTACAAACGGATGGAAATACGAGTATGTCTACTTAAACGGATTTTACGTAAAGTGATTATGAAAGAAAACAGAATATTCAGCGGTCGCTTCTCTGTTAAAGGCGATAAAACTGGCAGACGTTTCAGAGGTATTCGCCGTCTCCATCGTCAGGGCGAAATGCTGTAAAAGCTATACAGAGGGCACCAGGCTCGACAGAGAGCCACGGGAACCCTGAATCATGACAACCGATCCTGGGTTGAGAATCAAATCAAATCAAATCCGTAACCGCCAGAACACGTTTCCGTTCTGTTAATGTTATTGATTAGGCAGTCAGTGTAGCGCCGCTGCGGATTAGGCAGTCGTGTAGCTCCTATATCTGGCGCGTGGGAATGAATATGCGTCAAATTCACAACCTAAATACCGGCGGGAAAAAGTGGGCCCTTAAATACTTTAAACGATTTGGTTTTTAAGTTTCTTTCGAAACGTCAGTCACCTCACCCATGGTAATTGTCCTCAGACTTAATGAATCACGAATCGATAAAACAGTCGTGCATTTTTCCGACTCTGGTCCCACATTTTGTGCTGCAAATTATAGTCTACAGCCCGTAATTACTAGCTCGTCTAATTATGTTTATTTACGCATAAAACATGTCTTTATATGCTTTCAAAGAACTAATAGTAACCGTAATAATATCCCACACTGAACTTTGCAATTAAATCATTATACCCTAAGGAACATGTACCTAATAATTTGTTAGAAATCTGTTGTTTTGTCGTCCTCGTAAAAATAAACACGAAGTACTTCAAGTAGCTTACCTAGTGACACCTTTTTGCGAAAGGCCATTAATACACTGTTAGTCACTAAAATTAAACAATGCAGTTCCCATCTGTGGTTCTCAATTATCCTCAGTTTACGACAGCAGATTCACACCGACAAAGAAAAAACTACGCTGAAGTCTCATCTCATTTCAGGACACGACTTGAAAATATGCAGATCCTACAACCTGTGATTTGTATCGTCTTCATAAAGCTATCATCACCTGGCCCGCTTGAGATGCTAGTTGAAGAGCCCTGTTCCAGAAACTGCTGATGGGTGAGTAGTCTCCATACCAAGATCGTCCGTCTGTCCGTACGCATTAACTCTTAACGTAATGATTCAACACTTCAAAGCCGAAGCTGATATCAGTAATACGTAAGAATCCAGTCCGTACCGCAAAGAAAATTAGTTAGCGTCAGAGAATTTTAGTAGATATTCGCTAGGAGTATCATATTTTGTAAAAATCGTGTTGAAGGGACCATGTCATAACTAGAAGTTCTGTTAGGGCCCTTTGTATAGGACTTAGAAGGGGTTAAACCAGTTGTATTCAACCTGGGGTACGCGTACCCCCGGGGGTACGCGAAGACATTTTAGGGGGTACGTGAAATTTAAAAAAACATATATTATTTTATGATAAACACTGAATAATCAGTAATGTAATTTATTTAATTTATTTTCGATGTAGATTATATACTACGTATAACTTGAATTATACACCAACAACTTTGGGGGTACAAAGTTGAAGAGAAATTATATCTGGGGGTACGCGAACAAAAAAGGTTGAATACCACTGGGTTAAACTATACGAAATGGAAATGTGACAAAATTTAGTTTACGTTTGAAGATGTCTGTCTTCTGGTTTCTCTGGCCGGTGTAGTCTGCTAGAAGTTTACCGACGTTTCAGAGGTACTTGCCCCGATGAGGGTAAGTTTCAACCAGATTATACAAGGCCGTAAGTCCAAGAAGACAGTCAGAAGCATCGTATTTAACGTCGAAGTCAGTTTGTAATTACAATTTTTCTGAAAATAAATAAAATAAAAATACTTGATTTTTCCCGAAGTCACTAAATGGCACGAAATGTCAAATAACGGGAACGGGAATCGATTCACCACGATTAACGACGCAAGACAAAAAACAAAGTAGCAGCTGACAAAGAACGGAAGTTAATTTCACTGAAACGAATTATGATCAGTGAAATCAATAAGTTCTGGGAAGAATAAGGACTTATTCTTCTCCATTTATACAGTCACGGAAGTACAAAAAATGTTCAAACGAACTCCTCCCAACAGCAGATCGTAAATTAATTGAGGACTTAACTGCTTAAATTGTTCATTTAACGACTATATACGTGCAATGACAGCATGATTAATAAATAATGGATTGATAAGGATGTGGAAGGAAACGGTCGTAGCCTAATCTAAGGCACTAACCCGGCATTATCCTGCAGTGACTGGATAAAACAAGAAATCTCCAGGAGTGCCAACCATTCGGCCATTTGCCTAAGAAATTTCGCTTGGTGGAACCGGGAGGTTCTTTCACGTGATTATAAAAGTCTGCCATTGGACTGTATCCTTAGCGGATTCAATTCAGTCACATCCGTTCACAACGTATTTCTCATAGATTCATTTCAATTTTATTTCTCCATCTACGCCTAGCTCTTTCAAATAAACATTTTTCTCCCCGCATTTCCTGAATAACGAACCCGAATGGTACAGTCTTTGAAAAACTTGTAACTTTTCAGTTAGTAAAGAAATTCCTATATGTTTATGTTCGTTACTGTTTTCACAAAAGCCTGCCACTGGATTATATTCCATGTCAGTTAAATCCAATCGACAGCCTCACATACTATTTCTATAAAACCCATTTTAATATTATCCTCGCCATCTACGACAAAGTGGCATAGTTCCTGCAGGCTTCCGGAGCACAAGTAGTGAATATATTTGTAGTTCTGATGATGACCAAGTAACAGTTCGTCACTAATTTCTTCGCTTTTACAAAACACCCTTCTTACCACACATGGAGTATCCCATTTTTGATCTTGGCGTAATTTTTTTAAATACGTCACCGATCTATCAGAGGAATGTTGCATTTGTTTTCACTGGAAGTCGATAGGTAAAACAAAAGTGAGTGTTTTAATAATCTTAATGTGTTCACTTTCCAAATGTAGTAGTGATTACAACAACTTTACAAGTACATAAAAACAAATAGTTCCTCAGTTTTTTGATCTCTTAATTTCATCACGAACATAATTTTTATGTATACTTCAGTGTATTAATTTTGCAACTCAGTACAGCCGCGTTCGTAAATGAAACAACTCTGAAACAATTAGCACAAGGCTGTACCAGAAAATAAGCGAGACGTTGTGATGGCATGGTTATTAAACCCTCGTCACTTACACATACGAAAGCACGGAAACTGGAAAGACAAGTTGAGCATGTTCTTCGAATAAATCTTGTCGGGACACGTGTAAGAAGACACGGTTGAACGAACGATAGTTTGATTTTTGCATCCTGATCGACATTTCTTGGCTTTCACATTAGACTGACTGTCATAAGTAACTCTCTCGAAAGGTATGAGAACATACACCGTTCTCGAAGTGACTCACCGCCCACTGCCTAGTTACCCCGCGATCCTGCCAGTTTCGTTTTCGACGTATGAATGCGTCCCGAAGCCTGAGACAAGTCTACACAAAGTCTTGAAGCATAAGGTACACTCATTACGGACGAAGGCAAGTCACGTGTTATGTACAATGGTTTTATAAATGTCTCGGTGTACTTCTAACATCTACAACATCTAATGAATTATACGCCTTATTTTTAAATCTCTCCCAAGCAATTTAAGATGGCTGTCTGTTGCCACAGTACTCAGTGCAACATATCAGAAAAATATACAACTTTATACTCGAAGCAGAGATTCCCTCAAATCGTAACTTCCGAACACCAACCTGGCTCGCGTTAGACATTTTCGACACAAACACAGACGTAAACGAGTAGATATGAAAATTTTTCCAACTACCAGACCACTTCCGAAATCATGTTAGATGTCAGATCGAATTTCCAGCTTCCACAGAGACGAGTAAGTTTTAAAAATTTTGTCCCCCAAACGAATTCTTATTTTAATCGCCTATAGCCTGACTTTATCATTACGCCCACGAAGACGATTAACTAGTCGAAGGTGTTGCCTTAAATATTCTAAATTTTAAACAGAGGAAACACTGGTTATTTGATAAACTACACATTGGAGCAAGGACGTAACACGTAACGTACCGTATCATGGTCTGAGTCAATGGTACAACTTTTCCCTTCTTTATTTCCAATCTGAGAGTATTCGTAATGCCCTTCGATATTAATATCGTCGTAAAATTCCTCCAGTCCCTTGTCTTGTTCAGAATTCGGCACCGATGAATTTGTCACTCTGGCACTCAGTCTCCTGTACCAAAAGATGAGCACCAGAGCGACTGCAAAAACAATAATACACAACAAAGACACTGCTACTACGATTATGGAACCTCCCGAGAAGACGTTGACATGGTCGTTCTCCTTCTGTGTGTCGTTGTACGACGACAACTCGGTGGAGTTGTCGTCAAAAGACGTTGACATCTCTAAATCGATGGCTGTCAGTGAGTCTGTTGACGGAGTGGTGTTGACTGTGGTTGACACAGCAGAGCAAAGGACGCCTGTCAACACGTACCAGCTGAGACCCCTGTACTGTGGAGGAGAGCGACACACAGCGTCATTGTTTTCCAGAATGACCAAGCTCCAGTGTACGACAGGTTGCAACGTGCAATCGCAAATCAAGGGGTTCCCCTTGATGGCAAAAACGTCTAGACTCAACAAAGAAGACACTGCATTGACATCAAGTGTCGTCAAAAGGTTGTTTCTTAAGTCCAGAGAGATAAGTTTGTTCTGAAAGTCGAATAACCCAACCGGAAGTGTTGTCAGATGGTTGTCTTTCATGTCCAGGAACTTGAGGTTCCTCAGTTTCGAGAAAACATCTACTTCAAGGACTTGCAACTGGTTGTGATTGAGGTTTAGTGTTTTCAGCCCTACAAGTGGATCGAATATGTGAGCGGGAAATGACGTCAGCTGATTGTTCTCGAGGCTGAGTTCCGAGAGGCGCTCGGCACCTGTCCAGTTGAACATCGCGTTCCGCAGGAAGGTCAGGCTCTTATTACTGCAGTCTGCGTCTTCGGGGTAACACTTGCACGGCGACGGACAGTCCCGGCTTGCGGCCCCCAAGATAGTAACACCAAGAATCGCTAAGAGTCCTGGGGTCATCAGCTATAAAAGCACAGAAACATTGCATCCTTTCAAGTTATTCTGACTACAGGCACGATGTCTAGCAAAGTAACCAGAGCAAACAAACTTAACGCATAATATGGAGGTCTATCTGGCCGACTACGTATTTAACCTCCGAAAATACTGAACATATATTGAGTAAAATCACTAACAGTCCATTTAGGATACACAGAAAAAGGACAAAAATTTAGAGGGTTGCTCCTACACCATTCTTCTGGGTACATACGTCGGTTTAGCGTTATGACGTCACGTGGTCCACCCATGGAAAGTTCTGCATGTTGTAAGATGGGAGTCTTTTAGGTTTTAGGTCCATGTAGTCAGAGGTCCCTTCTGCCTCAATCATAAGGACCGTGATTGCCCTGATCATGGAGGCAGCGGGGACCTCTTAAATGTTGGTTTGTGTCCTTCGTCCTGAGGACATTGAAATGAAGGACAGTTGAGGCAGGAAGTCAGTAACCGGACTTCGGCCACCGGATTCCAAAAAATGTTTGATCTCTACGCGGAAGTTTAAGTTTCTGTTTACTCGTAAAACAATGGAATGTCGTACTGCAACATTGCAAACCGATGGGATCACACAATCCTCAATGCAAGTTTTTTTGTCACTCTGCAACGGTGACAATTTATGTTTCGAGTTATTTAGTTCGTTATTTATGTTAATAATTGTTACTCCTTTGCCACGAATCAACATAGCACAAAATATGTTTCATTAAAACAGCACACATGATAAGATTAACACCAAATAAACTTTCACGCTGTTAGATATAGTGGTCACTTATGAGTTATCAAATCTTCCCATGACGAATTACATTCCATGAAAAACAGAATTCCATTTATTTTCCCCATAGATTTCACGTGATCTAGACGTGTGTTCCCAGAATATTACACCAAAAACAAGTGAGAGTACTCACCGCCATGGTGAGTAAGAGTGGCCGATCGGACTTGACTGGCAACAAGAAATGATTTGCAATAGCATCTCAACGCGGGAAGTGACGTTGACTCCAGATAAAAGAACTTCCTCTAGAAATATCAGCGCTTGGCTCAGACTTCCAGTGCGGAAATTACTAACTTAATTTAAATACAAAACACGACGTATTTTTCTCCTTATAGTTTTTAAACTAAGAATTCATTAATAACCCTGTTCCTTTGGAATATTATTATTAACAACAACACAATCAACAGTATGGACAATAAATATGTTTATAACGTACTTGTGGGAAAATATATAAAGATTTTTATTGTTATAATCATGACTTCCACATGAACACGTTGACTTTCTCGTGCAAAAACATGTTGATCTTGTGGGTTTTGTCGCCCTGAAGATGAACAGAGTATAGGTCCCCGAAACGCTACAATCTACCTACAAATGTACGCGGCGACAAATCTCAGAGCAACATGATAATAATATACGCTAGTAGGTTATAATTTGTACCTTCCAATGTAAAGCTTTCGACTTTTGTATATTTTACATTTATTGCTCGCATTAACTTAAAGTTATAGTCCACATCTCCCTTACTAAAATTTAGTAGAGTTCTTGAGAATCTGATAAATACTAAACTTTAAAAAGATCTCGGCGTTTATAAAATGTTAATTTTCAAGGCTCATAGGGACCCCCACATTCCCTTTAGAACCACCTTAATGTTATCCCACAATTAACTCCCTTCTTTCTGTCATCAGACCTACTATAACGTCAGAGATGCAGCTGTAGAGGACCTGTTTGGTATCCTAGCAACCAGGCATAATGGAAACATGTGGCCATCGTGTAGAGTCGGTCCTTTCTCTCATAACCTGATGGAGGTCACTGTAATACAATTGTAAAAATAAAATAAAATAAAAGAAACAGCCGACTGATTGTTGTTAGCAAAGGAGGACGATTTGTTGAATGAGATGACCCAGTTGGGACAGCATCTAGCCAGCACACAAGCCTCGCATTGTTTAACGTCGTTATATCAGCCAAAAATATAGACGTACTAACACGTCTAGTCTCATCATAAGAACATGTGCAAAAATATCTACTCTAATGGAGTACAAAAATTCTTCAGACGTGTCGTTCGCGTGCAATTTTGCATGCTCCACTGCCATTGGCCTAAATCATTAACATTCTTCAGACACAATTCAATTGTTCCAAAGTTTCTAACGCCACGAATGGTACTTTGTCGTTATAAATTATTCTTCTTTATACTTTGTTAAATATTAAACTTATCAAAAAGATGAATTAACAGATTCTCGCTCCAGCAAGTATGAAGATGGCTGTCATTTGGGTTATGAATTATGACCGACGTTTCAGAGGTATCTACTAGCCCCATTATCGTCCTGATGATGGCAGCTAATGGCCGCTGTTTATTCTTTGTGTACATCGAGGAGAATTAGTTTCATACGGATGCTACGGCATTTTGTGCAATCGCGCAATGTCAGATACCGTCCGGGTCACATGACTACCTCAGCAACAGCTGCTATTGGCCAAACAAAAACAAAAAAACACCCAGAAAACCTGACCCGCATTTTTAGTTTAACGTCTATCATCACAAGAATGGAATCAAGGACACAATTTTCGGTTTTTGTGTGCCACGTAATGATATTGAGTTACACATCCATAAAAAGAACAGTTTTGTGTTGGTTCGTGCTACTTTCAGAACAAGGTGTGGTTTTTAACGCGAAGTAATATTCCATACGTACTTTTTGTAACCCCAGATAATTGTGAGCTACCGCTAGACTTGGTCTAGGTGCTCAGAAATCAGAATTAACGGTTTCAATGGGTCAAAGCCCCCTGAAAATGGCAATCAGCACCAGATAGCAAAGCTGTACAGGGAGCGTAGAGGTAAAACCCACCACATTCGTAACCTTTTCAAACCGAATTTCTTCAAAATTCAGTCCTTACCGCAAAGAAAACACAAGACCTCACCATTAGAGACACCAAAAATATTTAAGAATTCAGTTCGTACCACAAAGAAAACACAAGACCTCACCATTAGAGACACCAAAAATATTTAAGAATTCAGTTCGTACCACAAAGAAAACACAAGACCTCACCATTAGAGACACCAAAAATATTTAAGAATTCAGTTCGTACCGCAAAGAAAACACAAGACCTCACCATTAGAGACACCAAAAATATTTTTCTAAATTATGTATTAAACTTCCAAATTAATAGTCTCAGCTTTCTCTAATACAAAATTCCAAAATTCCGTCTTTTATGCCAATCATCACACTAACGCCTTCACTCTTACTTTATCCTTAACACTTTCAGAAACAATTTCACGGACGTCATCATATTCTAAGATTTAAAATAATTGAAGAAAATTAAAAAAAAACAGCAGTGGAAAAGGATCTGTGCTCCATTTGTTTCAGGATTAAGGATGCTGTGGGTCCTGGTGGCGGGCGCCATCTTCCTGTGGGTGTCGCCCCCAGCTTCCACAGTGCGCACTTTGCATCAAGGACACAGTAAGTCGCCATTCAACAGTCAGTAAAAATGGCATACGTTACCATATCAAGAAATACAACCTGCAAATGTTTAGTAAGAACTAATTAACTACCTAGAGTCGAGTACCTTTTTTAAAAAAACTGACTCGCTCAACTGAACAAGAAATTTACCATCTTTCACGGAGCCCCCAATTAATTAGCGTGCAGAGTAAAGTCCACCCTTCTAGGCCAATAAAATTCAAACCTTGGTACTCTATTAATTTAAAATATGTTTTCATATTATCCTTCCATCTACAACTAGGTCTTCCAAGTTGTATCTTTCTTCTGAGTTACGACGCCGTGTAGACTAGCAGCTAAATACCAAAGTTTCGGAGGACCATGCTGTTCTCATCTTCAGGGCTGAA